CTTTGGCTTCAGTTTTGGGAGGGGCAGGGGCTTCCTTCTTTGCTTTCGGCGCCATCTTCATAGAAAGTCTTTCAAATGTTTTAAATTGCAGAGGAGAAGATTTCCCATCCTTCTCCTAAGGAGCAGCTGGTGGATTCAAACCATGTACCTTTGTACTGGCAGTGCAGCAGTTCCTCACCCACCGGGCCACCAGAGCTTCCTTAAGAAACTGACATTTGTCAGATTTGCTCATCAGCTTGAGCAGCCCTGTTTAACAGTTCAGCAGAAGCACTCAAACAAGAAAATATCCCATATGCTTGCAAGAGTTTGGTTAGAGTTGGCAGTGTGGGATTGGGCTATATAACTAGTTACCATTAGCCACTTCCCGCTGTTCCTTGCCCCTTCTAAAAACCTCACCACAAAGCTGCAGGTGGGTCATGCCAGAGTCAGCAAATGAAACTGAGAATCCCTGCTTGCAAGTTGAGCAATGAATGAGCCTCCCCTGATAACACTGTTCAGGCACTTAGTGATGTCATAAGAGCTGTGTGGTCTTTCAAATGTCATTCTTGGAGTCAACTTGATTTCATTTACTCAGAAAAACCAACCCTTTGTTGTTCTTATCCTTCTTCTTTTTTTTTTTTTGTTCTTATCCTTCTTAACACTCCTCCAAACATCCAGGGGACTTGTAATCAGACATACAGATTCATCCTGTTTGTGCTTTCATGAGGGCTAAGAATCCTGCTTTAAGAGTTAGTTGGTTTTTGTTGTGGGTTGCTTTTCTTTTTTTTTTTTTTTTAAATTGTTCCCTTTCCTCTGCTTTCCCTTTTTCAACATGTTTGTCCCTGATCTCAACAGGGGGCTTTGGAAAAGGATTGAAAATTTGGTCCAAGAAATAAACACTCACAGAATAAGACCCCCTTCTAGCTCACACACTTTGAGTTTAAAAGCCAATTATTTCCTCTATCCCTCTCCTCACTGTTCCAAGTGACACTTCAAAACAAAAGTCCAACTTTGCCTGGAGTGGCTGTTGCTATAGACGGGTAAGTTATGGCAGGACTGTAGCTGCTTATGATGAAAAGAAAATAACCAAGTCTAAAGAGCATTTCTGATCTTGAGGCTCTTAAAACCGTAACCCTTGGTTGGAAGTGCATAGTTCTCTTTCCAAC